CACCGCCGCCCGCATGTCCCGATTTTCCCGGACATGTCCGGCTTTTTGGGATTTCCCCCCGGACGGGGATTTGGAGCCCAAAAAGCTGGACATGTCCGGGAAAATCCGGACGTATGGTAACCCTAAGTGGGGGGCACGGATGGGGTAAGGGGGCCGAGGCTGGGAACGAAGCTGCAGCCGGGGACCGAGGCTGGGGGCAGGGCTGGGAACGAAGCTGCAGTCAGGGGCCAAGGCCGGGGGCAAGGCCGGGGGTGGTGCTGGGAGTGGAGCTGCAGCCGGGAGCCAGGAGCTGAGCTGGAGTAGAGCTGGGGCGGAGTGGGGCTGGGTGGTGCTCCCAACCTGCCCCTCATGGGGACTGGCCCGGGCCCCACCGCGACCTCCCTGAACATTCCTCCAGGCCCCCTTAAGGGGGCACGCACGCCCCACTGTTCGGCGACCTGGTCTAGAGATACGGGAGAGGATGCGTGAGCCCATTGGAAACAAATGGTTGCCTCTCAAACAATATCACACCAGGCTTTCTAGAGACTAAATCCTGCCAGGTTAACCTTCCATCTAAAGACGTTTCTCTCCCAGGGTGCTCTGCAGCGTTTTCAAACCACGGCTGGCTGAGATCCCGTTTTCGTGACTGTAAACGCACAGCCCGTTTACGTCTAGGTACAGGGCGTGGGGGTATCTTCTTTGCCGCCTACCCATACCCCCCAAGGTTCATCGTCTGTACAGGATAACCACCCAGTGCTGGATTTGCCCGTGTGCTGCTTTCACGTCCCTTCGTTAACATTTTGCCTTCGATTGTAAAAGGGCTTCCATTGGTTTAGCATCTGATGCTTAATTAACATCCCAAGAGAGAGAGACACATTTCATACCCCGGGTCTCCTTTGTTGATGTAGAGTTTAAAAACATATGTTCAGTGTATTCCTACCTAACTCCTTTCATAGTGCCCGGACGTGCATTTCCCAATGCTAATGGGTGACCCCAGCTTTCACTGAAGACCTCCCATGATATTCTTTGGCGATCCAGAATGGACATATCAGAATTGGGTCACTCCTGTAACCCCTTGGCCAGCTGGCCTGAATGGGTTCTGGGGGTCACACCTCCGTGACCCTAAGAATTTCCCAAGGCCGGAGGGCAAGGGGCTTCCTGGTATCCAGCGGTGGATTTCAGCTGGCTTGGTGAGTGTACCCCAACTCATTGGATCCCCCGCTTGCCTCCCCCACCCATCGCTCCTGGCCTCTGCTGCCTCCCTGGACTCCCCACCCCATCCCCAGCACCCTGCTGCTTCCCCCACATTGCCCCGACTGATTCCCCAAGCGCCCTTCTGTGCACCCCAGGCAGGCTAGTCCAGACTCGTACCTGAGCAGGTAACGACGGCTGCCGGCGAGGAAGGGACGGATTCATCCGGCTTCGCCGCGCCCCCAATGCTGCCAGGCCGGTCTCGCTTCCCTGCTCTAGGCGCCACCTAGTGGGGCTCAGGGGGAGTGCTTGGGTGCCTTTCCCAGGCGCGTCCCCCTCACCTCACTCCCACCCTGGTAGAAATCTGGGCGGGGGGGGCATGTGATCCCTGCGTCCCCTATGTGTGGAGTGACGGATCTTTTAAAGTCTGTATTTGAACCAAGTGGAAAACAGGTCTGTCTGGGTCTTGAATACAAATGAAGCCGTGACAATGGGATTACAACGTACATACGTGGCAAACAAGCATCAAAGCTCACAAGCGATAGTTGGGGACTCACCACGTCCGGATCACCAAGGAGGGTGTATTTGCTCGTCTGACCAGCCTGGTCACCAGGCAGAGACAACAGTCAACGAAACCATCAGGAGAGCGCGTGGGGAAAGGTGACCACATAACGATCTCGACTGGGGATGGAGCCGGCACCCGCCTCTTGAAGCAGGAGCAATAAACTTTGAGAGAGATGCTTTATAGTGGAGTACAATGGGAGAGGCGGAGAACCCTGAAGTTATCCATCGCTAGACGGGGGTCAGAGCTCTAGCAAACTGTTGGGTCCTTCAGCCAAGGGGGGTGGGGTGGGGCGAAGTTTCTGGGAACAAAAGATCAGTAAGAAATCAACCTTGAACCAAACCTGTAGCTTGTTAAGTCACGCCTTGGCCATTAGAAAGTGTATTTTATTTTTGTTTGTGACTGTGACACAGGGCCAGAAAGGGTTACATAACTTGCAGGCTAATTGACCCAGATTCAACCTTTAGAGACATATTAATAGATAATGTTTGTGTTTTTGTGTGTTTACATATATATTGTTAGGGGTTAACAGTGTAACCAGCCGGTCCTGTCTATCGCTGTATTCTGTTAATTCAGAGATCAAAAGGAGATGTTAACATTTAGATTAACTGTGAACGTAGTGAGAGCATTGTCTTGATTTCTCTTGGAAGTATATAGCAACTCTCCTGCAAATGACGGGAGACAGGCAATTGCCTCATGTTAATCCATGGAGCTAAATACCAGTGGGGTTAGGAAATAGAAGGGCCCTTCAGAGACACTGTTGTTCACCCAAGGACTGCACGCGGTCAAGAGGCAGCCCAGAAAATTATAGAATATCAGGGTTGGAAGGGACCTCAGGAGGTCATCTAGTCCAACCCCCTGCTCAAAGCAGGCCCAATCCCCAGACAGATTTTTGCCCCAGATCCCTAAATGGCCCCCTCAAGGATTGAACTCACATGTATAGAGAGCTTTTGGGACCTGCTCCTTTCATCTCAGATTTGCTTATGCTTCCTCAGGGGAAGTTTGAGTCGCAAGACTGAGGACTCCAGTCTCATCTGGATCTCCCTGATATTGGACATTGGACTGAACCTATGGCCTAATGCTGAAAGAATTCAGGGCAACTCTAAAGCTCACCATCTCTACTATGAAACTGACCTGAGGATTTTATTCGTGTCTGTATGTTCCGGGATTGTGCCCTCCCATTATCAGCATCTCTGGAGTGGTTCTCAATCAGGGGTACGCGTCCCCCTGGGGGTACGCAGAGGTCTTCCAGGGGGCACATCGACTCATCTAGATACGTGCCTAGTTTTATAAAAGGCTAAATAAAAAACACTAGTGAAGTCAGCACAAACAAAAATTTCATACAGACAATGGCTTGTTTCCACTGCTCTATAGACCATACGCTGAAATGGAAGGACAATATTTATATTCCCATCAATTTATTTTATAATTCTATGGTAAAAAAGGAGAAAGTCACCAATTTTCAGTAATAGCGGCTGTGGACACTTTTGTTGAGAGCTGTTGGCCTAGAGAACGTCATTTCCGGCGTATATACATCACTCCTCACCTGTTCTCCATACGTACATCTCCACAGTGGTTCTGATGGCCAGTGCGACACAGGCTTTCATTAGAGAATTGTGTGACATTCTCCTGGGGACCGGGTAACCCCTATGTACCTCTATGTCTGCTGCCACTTGGCATCTGGAAGTCCTTGGGTCACACATCCCACCACCCCTCCCCACAGCATGAGGGGCACCCCTGACGCTCCCTCCCCTGCCCCTAGGGGGGCTGGTTTATCCCCTGTCCATGCTAATCTACCCCACTGTGAATTACCCCTCCTGGAGACGGGGCCCTGTCATTGCCCAGCGTTAGGTGTTCAGTGCCTAGGACAAAGGGGGCCTCATTCCTGACTGGGTGTCCTTAAGCTTAAATCACTGCGGTAGGCCTCAGGAGATCTGGGTTCAGTTCCCGGCTGTGCCACCGACTCCTGGGAGTGATCTAGAGCAAGTCACTGTATCTTTCTGAGCCTCAGTTTCCTACCTGTAATAATGATCCTTCTCTTGTGTATGTAGACTGAAGGGTCTTTGTGACAGGGACTGTCTCTCTCTCTGTGTCTGTGCAGCACCTGGCACAACAGGGCCCTGATCTCAGCTGGGGCAGGGACTGTCTCTCCCTGTGTGTCTGTGCAGCACCTGGCACCATGGGGCCCTGATATAATAGCACTGATTTTATTTTGCCATTGCTACTTATTAAGGAGTAGCGCCAGTATTAAACAATGATGCTGAAAGGACTGTGCGGCATAATTTATAATTATATCAGGTAATACTAATAATTAGTTGGTGTAATTAATAACACTCTAGCTTTTTTCATCTAATGATCTCCAAGCCCATTCAAAACAGCTGTTAATTAAATCCTGGAACAGCACATAAGTCACTGGCCTTATTTTACAGCCAGAGAAATGGAGGAGGAGTGGCAAAGCCAAGGATAGAACCCAGGAGTCCTGGCTTCCAGCCCCCTCTGTGCTGACCCATTAGACCCCTCTCCCCTCTCAGAGCTGGGGATAGAACCCAGGTGTCCTGACGCAGCTGCTCTCCTCACTAGCTCACCCTTCCCTCCATTAAATTGGGGGTAAGAAAACACTGAATAGAGACTAGATCTAATGACATGATTGTTTTGTTCAGCTAACCCCAGTCCCGTTTATAACCAGGCTGGTCCTGCGCAGGAGGCATCTGGTCCATTTTGCCCTGCCTCAGTCAGCCCCATCTCCCCTGAGTTTCCATCCCATCCTCCACGCAGAATGCGGCTCACCAGGCTTTAAGGGGTTAACTCCACAGTGCTCCCCCCTTCTAGCTCCCCCCTCCCCTCATGTGTTAGCCCAAGATGTCTCCCAGCTCCTGATCTCCCCAGTTCCTCCCCATCCCATGCTCTCCATGTTGCCCCCACTACCAAAATCCTCTGATTCCCCCCGCCCCATCCCACGGCACTCACCCATTTCCCCTCCTCGATCCCCACATACCCCCTGTCACCCATCAGCCCCCCCTGCCAGAATCCCTCCCTGATCCCTTCCTTCCCAGCCTGTGTTCCCCACCCTGCCTGTCCCCCCGCTGCATAGACCCTCCCCGACCCTCTCCCAGTCCTCCCATGTCACCCACCTCCCCCACTGCTGGGAGCTCTCCCTGATTCCCCTCTCCAGCCTGGGCTCCCCATTTCACTTGCCTCCTGCACTGCTGAGACCCCTCCCAGCTTCCCCTTCCCCATGCCACCCTCCTCCCCTGCGGCCCGGATCCCTCCCCAATCCCCTGCCACACCACACCTGGTTCCCAACTCCGTGCACCCCGTAGCTGTCTGGTTTCCCAAGAGTTAACAGCATTGCAGTGACGGCGCTGGGTGAGTATCCTGTGTGGGAGCTCCTGGGTGACCCCGCCCAGCCCCAGTCCCAGGTGAGAGGCGGGGGTTGGCAGAAAGTGGTATAAATCCCACAGCTTGGAGCTGGGATAGTGCAGCTCACTTTACTCCAGCCAGCAGAGACGAGGTCAGCCACTGCTGCTCCCTAAAGGCCTCCAGGATGGTTTGCGGCGGCGGACAGCCGCCCCTTGGCGTGACTCCCATGATCCTCCTGGTTCTGTGTCTCCATCTCCCAGGTAGGTCCTGAGCCTCCCTGGGGGTTAAAGGTCGTCCACTGCTCCTTTGGCTTTCATGTCTTGGAGGTGCTGCCGCTGGCTGTGATGTCAGTGCCGGCTGTGATGTCATCAGCCATCCTGGCTGTGATGTCACAGATGGCGTGGGGGGGTGAGGAGGGTGTTGGTTAGGGAGAACAAGCCAGGCGGGAGGCTGCAGTGGGGGAAGTGTAGAGAATGCAGCTGGACCAGAGGGATCCCAGCAGAGGGGGAGGCGGGTGGTGTGGGGGGCGCAGGCTGGGGGCGAATCGGGGAGGGAGCCCAGAAAGGGGTGTGTGTGGCATAGGGAGAGCAGGCCGGAGAGGGGTGGATTTGGGGAGGGATCCCAGCAGAGGGGGAGGTGGGTGGGGTGGAGTGGGGAGCGTAGGGCAGGATGGGGGATGCAGGAGGGATCCTAGCAGAGGGGCAGGCGGGCAGGGTGGGGAGCACCCATGGGACTCAGGGAAGGATCCTGGAAGCAGAGGGGACAGATCAGCCCTTGACCTGAGCAGAAATTCCTGATGGAGTCAGCCTGTCCCTATTAGCTTGTTTATAAAGTGCGGGAGTGAGTCAGAGAGAGGCAGGCGGGGGGTTATTAATTCCAGGTTGTCTAGTTTTTATGACTGTTTTGATCTTCAGCCTAATAATCATAAAACTCCTCAACACCCAGTGACTTCAAAAGGTCTCTCTCTCACACACACACACACACACCCAGTATGTGCCTGGTAATTGTACTCGCTGCCAGCCTCTCCTCATGAGCCAGGATCCAGAAACTGGGAATAGA